GGGCTGAGGCAGGGCTGCTGGGCACTGGGCTGGGGCGGGCCCGCTCACTGCCCTCCTCCACCAGGCTCAGGGAAATGGCCTGGCGGGTGGCGTAAGTGCAGTTGGGCAGGGGGCTGTTGCGGGGGATTCGCACCTTATCCTCAGAGAACTCGATTACCTTGCGGCCAGGATACAGCGGGTGTGGTGGAGATGGGGTGGGGTAGGGGCTCAGCTTCTCAAAGGCTGGCAGGGGCAACTCCTCCTCTGGGGAGCCCCCAGCAGTGCCCAGGGAGCGGCATTCCCCATTGGGTTGTGAGGTGGGGCTGCCAGGGGCTGGGGGACTGGCTGGGTCACCCGGGCCCCCCCCACTCATGTCCACGTGCACAAAGACATCCTCGGCCAAGGGGCGCCCGGCACTGCCTGACTGGGCCGAGTTGAGCAGTAGAGACTCTGGCTTCTCTAACACCCGGGCAATGACCGAGGTAGGTACCACAGCCCCTGGCATCAGGCTAGGGGCGGGGCCCGGGCTGGCAGCCTCTTGACCACTGTGCAGATGTTTCCGAACCATGTCCTGTAGCTCACAGGGCAGCTGGGGAAAAAGAGTGGGAGAAGGGAAGAGAGACATGAACGATCCCAACCTCAGAGCAAAAATAACGACCGGCACGTACAAACACCACTGCACGCTCAGCACTGTGATCTTCCGGCCCCCTGGCATGCCAGGCTATAGCTTCATTTCACAAATAAACTGAGGCTCCGCAGGGGTGAAGTAACTTGCAGCTTTTGATGAACACAGCCAGCATCTGATCCCAGAACTGGTGCTAAGGCCCACATGCCCTCAAACGTCCATCTCCCTGCATCTCAGCAGTGGCTTCTGCCCAAACCAGACAAGTTTGAGGACCTGTACTGGCCAGCAGCCTCATGAGTCCCTCCACTCCTTCTACAGACCCTATCAACCTTGGGCCTGAAGCTCTGGAGTCTAGAGCTTGCCCCTTGGGGTAAAGGGATCGGCTGGGCCTCATCCTCTCTCAATATTCTTATGACTGATACCCTGGCCAACCCCACCTTCCCGCATGGGATCCCAAAATTGAGTGCCTCTCTCCCTGCCTCTGTTCCAGAAATACCAGCAGGGCCAGCCCCCAGTCCCAGTAACTATCTCTTGACAGCACACGGAACACCGACCAGTGGCAGAGTTGACTGGCTTGAGAGGAGCCATGCAGACGAGGGCAGGGCAAAGCAGAAAGGAGGAGTCAAGGCAGGAGGATAGAGGGAGGTGTGAAAACTCAAGTCAGAGGAGTCCTGAGAAGGCAGGACTAGCGCTGGCAGGGGGGTGGGGGGGTTCTGCTCACATCGGCGAACTTGTGGTTGCGGAAGTGGGACTTGTTGCACTTGAGGAGCTGCACAGCCAGGTTGCAGTCCAGCCGGTACCGCTCCTACAGGTACAGGCAAGGGTCAGAGGCCGGCCCCGCCCCAGGCAAGCAGGGCCTAGGCCAGGGCAAAGCCAGGGACACGGGAGGGGTCCCCCCCCCCCCGCCATACATTGAGCTCCTCCAGCTTGTTGATGGTGTTCTTGGCGTCCAGCAGCTTGTTGGTCAGCTCCACGATCTCCCAGTCCAGCGTCTTCCTGTCCATCTCCGCTTTCTTGATCTGAGGCACAAAACGTGTGTGAACCCCGCCCTCACCCCAGCCGGCCTTCCTCCCCTCCACTTCCTCCCGGCCCAGAGACACAGGAAGCCACAGGTGCTGGGGCAGCCAAGGCGGACGAAGTAGACAGACGATGGACAGACAGAAGAAGACCAGCCACCTCTCCTGTTCTCCGGGCTGGCTGTGGGGAAGGGGCTTTCTGGATATAACCTGCTGCCACCTGGGCCCAGGACAGAGGCAAGAGCTGCCCCTCAAGGGGCTCTACAGAGGAGGCAAAGCAGCTGGACTAGAGAAGTAAGTGTGTAAACCCAGGGACTGAAGCCTACGTGTGGAGCTGCTTCCAGGCTCAGGCCAGGAAGAGGGAGGGGTGGGGCTGGGAGGCAGCTGGGGGCGCCTGTGAGATTATCTAGTTGAGCCAGGAGGGAGCGGCAGGCTCAGCAGCGGCCTTCTGATCTTCAGTTCAGGGACTGGCTCTACAGCCCCCCCTCCCACCTCAATGGCTTGGGCTTGTTGCCACTGCAGCGGAGAAGCTGTGAGTGTTCAGTGGTGACATCAACCGGTTCCTCTGCCAGAGCCAAGGAGGGAGGCACTGTACCGAATGGGCCTCACGTAAGGAAGAGGAAAGCAGTGGGCAGAGGGACAGGGAAGGGGCCCCGGCAACCCCAGAGCTCATCTGAGGAGAAGGCCAGGGCAAGGGAGAAAACACACAAACTCAGACGCAACTGCAAAGATCCAGCTGTGGCTAAGAGAGGCCTGACAGGAGAGGGCGGCGGCGGCGGCGGCAGCATGAGGGGAAGACGGGAGAGAAGAGAAACAGTATGAGCACTAAGACAGTCCTGACGCGCACAGCACACTGCGGTCCCCTCCCCGCCGCCGTCCCAACCCCTTCCCCAAGCCCCAGTGGCATTCCCCCAGCAAGTCCCAGCCCCCTGCTCTGCTGTGAGCACAGTGCCAGCGAAACCGCACCCCCAACCCCGGACAGATTACCAGTGTGTGCAGCTTGTCCTCCAGTTCCTGGTTGGTCCTCTGGGAAGCCGTGTAGCTGTTCTGAAGCCTGTGGAGGAACACGAGGCAGACCCCTGGGTCAAGATCTGCTCTTCAGACCCTGCTCGCTCAGCCCCTCCTTGATAGGGGATCTTGGGCAGGCTGTCCTCCCCGAACTGCAGTTTCCCCATCAGAATCAGATGATCTCAGAGGCCTCTTCCAGCTAAAATCCTATGAATGGTGGGGGCTGCATGCAGGTGTGTCCTGGCCCCTCCTTTCCACACCTGCGGAACTTGTCCTTAAATTTGTCCAGCTCCTCGCGGCTCTGGCCCAGCTCCAGCTCCAAGCAGTCCTGCCCGATCTCCAGCTCGCGCTCCAGGGCCTCGGTGCGCCTGGTGGCTGAGGCCAGGCGCCGGCGGAGCTCCTCGTTCTCCTGCTGCAACAGCCTGGCGGGGTGAGGGGGCAAGGGCAGAGGAGCATCAGAGGTAGACAGACCAGCCCTGGAACCCCAGCCTGGACTCAGGAAGGAAGGAGTAGGGATGACATGAACACAGGCAACTGGGGACAGGGGACTCCTTGAGACTGAGCCTCAGTCTGGGGCAGCATATCCCATAGGCCTGCTGGCCCTGAGAACACAGCCTGGCTTGGGGGCAGGGGCGGGAAGCAGAGGGGATGGTAGAATCCACTCCCACCCGGAAGAAGAATGAGAAGACAGAATTGGTGTGAGGCGTGAAAGTTCCCAGTCTGTCTCTGGTTACAGCCCAAGCCAGCCGGCCACCAAGCCCTCCAGCTCCAGTTTCCCCACTGCACAATCAGGCTACTCCATTATTAATCTCCTGGAAATCCAGCCCAGCACTGCCCTCCTCTCCAAAGGCCTCACGTGGCTGACAGAAAAGGCTGCAGGGAGGCAGCTGGCACAAGAGAGCCAGGAGCTGGGGGAAGGCTCTTTGGCAAGAGCAGGCCTCCAGAGCACCTTGGTTCCAGGTTCTCTTGGAGCCATGGAACAAAAACTCTTTCTGGAAGGAATATCCATATCCAGCCTCCTCTCAGAGCCCTTTATGGCTCCACACCAAGCTTTACTTCTACCTAATCCAATGAAACCCCGACTATACCAACAGCCTTGCCTGGCGCTAAGAGGGAAGTGCTGAGGCAAAGCAGGGCAGGCTCTCAGGCAGCAGATACTCACTTCATCCTCTCTGCATCGGTCAGGGGCGCCTGTGCACAAAAGAACAGAAGCCTGAGGCTCAGCCCTAGACCACTGACCCACCCTGCTTGCCCATCCTCCAAAGAGACCTGGAAAGGACCATGTCTAAAGCCCAAACAATCTCACAAAGTGGGCCCTGTAGAGATGGAGGCAATCCAGTATCACCTGGATGAGCCTAGACTACTCTCTGCCATGCCAATGAGAAGGTTCAAGAACCCCTTCCGACCTTCACCCTTACCCACACCACTTCCAACCCCCCTCAAAACTTTAGAGCAGGCTGCAAATGAGTCCTGGTACCCACGCCACATCTCCCAGGGATAAAGAGAGCCTCTCAACTGTTCACTGGGCTCCCCGTGGGCCCTACAGGCATGGCAGAGACATTCCAGAGAAGTGAAGAAGTCAGGCAAGCTACAGTAGGGTTCTGAGCTCTAACAAAGCCCTCTTGGCCCTGGAGGAAGTGGGGGCAGAATCAGGCCCTTAAAGAGGCCCCAGAGGAACAAGTACATAGATGAAGGACAGCCTTTAGGCCAAGCCTGACTGAGAGGAGTAAAGAGTCTCATCCTTATCCGGCTTTTTACCTCCTGCCCCATCCTCCCCAAGCCCCCACACTGGTTACAGCCCAAGAGCCAGAGCTCAGCCAGCCACAGAGCAGGGAAATGTCAAGCAGCCCACTCTAAATGGAGCTGACTGCCGCAGAATGCCAATCCCAGGGGATTGGCCCTGGGATGGCCCAGACCATGGACTTTGAAGCTAATGACACCTGGATCTGATCCTATTCTGCCACACTCTGCTTACATTAGCCTTGCTGAGCCTCAGCGTCCTCATCCACAAAACCAAGGGAATGCCCACTGGGTGGCATCTAGCACAATACCTGGCCTTTTTATTTAATGTTTCCTGAACTGAAAACAGGCAAGTCACAGCATTCCTGACCTGAATCTGACCAAAGCGGGCCATGGTACGCCTGATGTATGCATGTATGATGATCTCTCAAGTTCTGTGAATGTGCTCAACATGCTGCAACAGGGTAGAAACACAGTAGCAAGGGACCTAAACTGCAAGCTCCTTTCCTCCTGAGAGTAAGCTGAATGAAGGAGGCCTATTTGGACAATGTTTTACAGTTGCCTGAAGAAGGCCTCCTAAGAACCTAACAACAGTTCCTGGCTGGGAGCATGTATTAACAAATGTTGGCCAAACAAGGCAAAGCTGGAGGAAGGGCCAGGACTTCTGGGGGCAGCAAAGAACAGCTGGTCTGTGGGGAAGAAGCCGGAGCATGACCTCCTCCACAGAGACCCAGCCTCCAGCAAGTTAGGACCCCTCAGTCCGGTGGGCTGCCTCTTGCAGGAAGAATGATACAGCCTGGGATCATTTCTGTTGAGCCATGAAGACTCTGGGTTCCCTGACATGTGGACATGTACTCACAGCTGTCCCCTATAAGCCTACATTGCCCCCACCAGCAGTGCTGCAGCTAGGAGACCCCAAACATGTACCAGCAATGCCACACCCACACCCCAACTTGGGGGACTAGAATCTCCTCAGGTGGGAGAAGTCAATCAGACACCCAGCCTCAAGGGCCTGCATCTGGCAGCCAGGGCAGGAGTACCAGTCTTCTGACCTCCTGCTCCAGCCGGGATCCAGGAACCTCCAGCCGCAACTCCCGATGCTCAGGTGGGGCCTTACGGTACGGTTTCTTAGCAGGGGCTGCGCTGGTCATCCTGGGAGGTGAGGGCTCCTCAACCTGCTGAGGGGAAGCAAGGGAGGGGAAGGCTCAGAGACATGGGCAAGAGGCCCCCAGACTGAGGAAAAAAGGACAGTAAAAGGGACATGTGTAGGAGCCACCAGGCAGGCAGACAGGCCTGGACCATTGCCGGGATCATTAGAAACCTGGACTTTGGTATCTCAATGCCCAAGGGTCAGGGGAGTGCTGGAGGCGACAAGGGCCCAATGCGCCAGGTGGGTGGGAAAGGCAGGGCCTAGGTTCTGGGCACCAGGAAGAGCGGATTATGGTCTAGGAGTGGGACAGTATATCTAAGAATGGCCCACCACTCACCTTTGTGGGCTTATAAAAAAATGCCTCAGAGGGAAAAACTGTTCCCTATGAATCGGTTTCCCCAACTATAAACTGGGGATGAGGAGAGCACCAATTTCATACACCTTCTGTGAAGATTACATAAACCACTAACCTTTTTTACAGTTACCTGGCATTTAGGAAACATTCGTGTTAGCTCAAAAAAACCAAAACAAAACAAAACACACCAGTAACCAGAAAGTGAGGGTTTGAGGGTACTCCTCCAACCCAGTTTCCTCAGTGGGGTCTCTACGCTTGTAAGCCCTGAAGGCCAATCCTCTCTGGCCTCCACCGTTCTCTTTTCACCAGCCCCCACCAAGAGAGGCCACCTGCCTGCCCCCTTACCTGCCAGCCTCCCAGGAAGGGAGCCCTGGGGGTGGGGGTGGGGAGCAGGTCTCACAGGGACATACCGTCTGATCGTCGGCAGCTCTCTCTGTTCCGCTGTCCCAGAGTTAGCCCTCGGCTCTCTGCATCCCACGGCCCCTCCACTTCCTCTAGCCAACAGCTCCTGAAACCGGAGAAGAGAAGAAAGTGGAAACCAGGTGTCAGCTGCGTGTCTGTCAGGGCCACGGACTGATCTACCCAGTCCAGGACTTGGAGGGCCCCCCAGGAAGAGCCAGGCAGAAAAGTCATGGACCAGGAGTTCTGGAAAAAGGAGAAGAAGCGGGAGAGGACTGGAAGCACTGGGCTCCTTTCCCCGTGAAAGCACTGTCACAGGCCCACACAAGACACATGTGTGTCATGTATGTGCTCGTGGTCTCTGCTGACCACACACCTGATTTGGGAATAGGTCTGGCCCTGTTCTGTCCCGATCCTACCCCACACCTGTCCTGTTCATCTCAGGCTTCTCAGAGTCTGGAAACTAAGAGATCTGGGGAGCATGGCTTGCAGAAGAGAACACCAGGAAAAAGCCTAGCAGAGACCAAGAAGATGTGGGGAAAACTTCCTAGCAATGTTCCCAGGAGCCCAAAGACTGCTTCTGTGTGTAACGGTGGTAAACAGACTTTGCAACTAGGGAGGGGAGGTCGAGGAGAAAAAATTCTGAAAAAGCAGCAGAGCAATGATTGAGCAATCTCAACGGGGGAGATTTTGGTGTCCCACACCCCCTCTCACTTGCCCCCTCCCCCTCCCAGATACCTGGCAATGTCTGAATGGCTGTCACAATGGTGTGGGTGCTAATGGCATCTAGTGGGTAGAGGCCAGGGATGCTGCTAAACATCCGGTAACACAAAGAACAACCCCCCATGATGAAGAATTCTCAGCACACAGGGTTGACAGTGCCCAGGCTGAGAAGCTCTGGGGCAGATAGCCCAACTCTGGGGAGCTGAGACACAGGGCTCCAGGCTATGCTGCTTCTGACACACTGTGTGGCCCCGGCTAAGTCCCTCACTGGTTTCTCTTCCACACAGAGGTGGCTAGACTGAGTGACCCGTGAGGTCCTGTCCAGGTTCGTGGGAGCACTGAGCTGAGCCCTGCGCCTACCTGTAATAAGCGGGGCCACAGCACGGGGGCAGCAGCCACCACAGGGACCAACGGAGGCAGTAACCTCAGGTGGCCTTCTGGGCATAAACAATCTTCCCGCCACCATTCACATAAATAGAGCTGGGGGCTGAGGGAAGCCTTGCGGGCTAAAGCATGTGTTCCTGCTGTCGGGACATGCCCTGGCCCCAACTCCTGTCACATTCCAACAGAGCCTGAGGCAGGAAGAACAGTGGGGGTAGGGAGGGCGGGGAAGCAGGAGTGGCCTCCCTTCTCTGTCTGAGCAGCCTGGTCTCTCCCTTGGGGTTCTGGGGGGAGCTGGGGCATGGCAGCAGGCACGAGCCGCCAACCTCCACCCCTTTGATGGTGAGGCGGACATGTCCCCACAGGGCACAAGCAGCGTGCTGTGTCGGGCTGACTCCCTGCACAGGAATCCGGGCGGGCCCAAAAGGACAGCACATTCCTGGGGTGTGGGGGAGCAAACAAGACACCCCCGCAGGTTCCCTGGGGCCCGTCCTGAGGGCCCCAGGGTGGGAGCTCCTATGGCCTGAGGGAGAGGCCCAGAAAGTCACAAGCCATCCTGGATACCTGGGTGCTGATACTCAGGGAGCCTAAGTGTGGGGGACATGAGTTAGAAAAGGACAGCCATGGGGCGCCTGGGTGGCGCAGTCGGTTAAGCGTCCGACTTCAGCCAGGTCACGATCTCGCGGTCCGTGAGTTCGAGCCCCGCGTCGGGCTCTGGGCTGATGGCTCAGAGCCTGGAGCCTGTTTCCGATTCTGTGTCTCCCTCTCTCTCTGCCCCTCCCCCATTCATGCTCTGTCTCTCTCTGTCCCAAAAATAAATAAACGTTGAAAAAAAATTAAAAAAAAAAAAAAAAAAGAAAGAAAAGGACAGCCAGAAACACAGAGTAAGAGATACAGTAGCCAAGAACCTCTGCAAAATCCAGGGAGGGAGACTCTAGAGTTGGGCCTGCTCCCTTACTCATCTGCATCCCCATCAGCTGCAGGCCACGTTGTGGGCCCCCTTGATTCTCAGCCTCTTCTTTTCTTCCTTAGCCCTATTCATACCAATACCCACACTGGCCTCTAGGCACCAGGACACCTGACTAGGTGGCAGGCGGGCAGGCAGGAAGCAAACTGACGCACTCATGTATCTGGGGATCTTCCCTGGAAGGAGGGAGGCCTTCACTCCACAGCCCACAAGCCCTAGCTCTACTTGTCACACATCCTGGCTCATCTTGACCTCAAGTCCCCACTCCCGGGCCCCACAGCACACACTCCCAGGGCTTTCCCAGCTGGATAACCTGGCTTGCTGAGGGAACAGACAGTGTGGAAGTGGCTGGCAGGGAGGCAGGGAGGCAGGGAGACAGGGAGCACCGCAATCACCCATGCTCCAGGATGAGTGGTGCCAGCGATGGCAGGCAGTTCTCTCTCCCGGCCAGAGCCTGCTCTCTCCATACACAGCAGAGACACAAGAAACGGAACCACTCCCAACTGGGGAAGCAGAAGGCAATGCCCACCAGGGAAACAGTCTGCTAGGGAGCCTGCAGTGTCCCAAACACAAGCCCACGAAGGAGAGTCTGTCTCACTCCCTGCCCCATGTCCATAAATACCAGTACGTGTTGAGGCCCACAGCAGCAGGGGGTAGGGGTGGGGGTGGGACGATTCCATCACTGAACAGGAACGCAACAGGGCTGACAGGCCACTGTCCTTGACTGGAGTGTGGCAGGGAAGGACAGACCCTAGAGTGAGAGCAACGCCAGGTGCACTGGAGAACAAAGCAAGAAGCAGCTGGACACCAGGCTCACAGCCAGGGGAAGATAAAAGGTGGGCTGCAAGACGGCAGGGCAGTCCCGCCAGGAAGACCCAGCTACCGGTCTCGGCCTCCAGTGGTCACATCTCCTTCACCCAAAGATTCCCATCTTGCCTTGGAGTGTTTCAGCCCAAACAGGATTTCCCAATCCCACGTCAAGAAGAGGAAGTCCCCAGGGAAAGTAGCCAGATAACTCGGAATGAGATACGGGCCACCACAAGCAAGCAAGCAGCCTTTGGGGTCTCTTGGCCTCTGGCTGCTGGCCTGGTTCCAGGGTACCTCCAAGAAAATGGTCTTTTGGAAAGTCTAGAAACTGACCGAGAAGAATCCCACTCCCAACCCTCACCCCAAACCACCTGAGCTTCAAAGAAGTGGGGGCAGAGGACTCAGGACGTAGGGCTACCAGGTCATGGGCTGGGTTTGCACTACAAGAACAGCTGTGCACCAGGAGAAAGGCTGAGGCCTAGGTTAAAACCTCTGGCTGACCCAGTGTGGTCTGGGGCTCCGCTGGCACTGCTGAGGGAGACACCCACAGCAGCAGTGGGAAGGGAAAGCTGCTCTCCTCATACCCCGGCCCCGCCTAGCCCTGCCTAGCCCCGCCTCCCCCTTCCTCCTCTGCATAGCATTCATTCTTCACTCACTCAACTCAGTTCAGATAGACTCAGCCTGGCTCTGCTGGGGTGGAAAGGGGGGTGGATAGCTTCCTAATTGCCATGTTGCAATCTGCCAGTCAGTGCGGCCGCCTGTTGCCGCCTGCCCTGTGTTAAATACCTTCTCCCTGATTACAGCCCATGGGGCACGATTAGCTGCCTCCTGAGAACAAAGTCTACTTTCATTAGAAATGGGACTCAGCACGCACAGCAAACCTGCACTGTGAACCCACTGAACAGCTGAGCAGAGAGCGTAGTCAGGGGCAGATATAAGGAGAAACGTGTGCCAGACTCTGGCTGAGCGGTATCCTTTAATCAAAGGACAAAAAAATCTGCCAAGCATCACTCTTTAAGTCAGGAGATGGGACTCACACCTGTGCCCTTTCACGGGTAAGTGCCCATATGTGACCTGGGCTTCCATCATGGTTAGGAGTCACCGCTGCTGGAGATGGAGTAGGATAAGGAAAAACCTTTAGCATCCTGATTTTCTCCAAACCATATCCTTACTCCACTCTCTGCCAACACCCAGAGTAGGCAACAGCAAGAAGGTTCAAGCCCAAGAGCCAAAGACGCCCTCTCACTTCCTTCCACCATCCTTTCTGCGGGTCTGCCCAGGGCAAAGTCAAAGGTGCAGGAGAGGAGGGGAGGTCCGAGCACCCAGCTTTCTCCCTACTGAGGGAGACGGGAGTGAAACCAAAATGGGT